ACCTGGCATTGCGCAAAGCCTGGTGCTAGCTTCTCAGAAGACCGTGGTGAGCGAGACTTGGTCTACACCCTCAGTGGTGCAGCGGGAAGATGGAATGGGGAAGAGGGGGGGGTTTCACAGCGACCTGGACTGTTAGACAGAGCTTAACAAGAGGAGAAAAGGCTGTAAGGACGGATCTGCAAAGTGGCTGGGGAGTCCCCAGGGAAGAAGATGCCTCTTTGTGTCTTAAAGGATAAACTGTGTTTTAATACTCTTCCCAGAGAAGTGAGTGAGCAACCGGCTGTTGGATGAAATGGGAAGAAGGGGGCCTTCCAGGCTGTAGACATCCACACATCTGCAGGAATTTAAATTAAAATATATATATACATATATATGTGTGTGTATATATGTATATGTATATGTATATATATATATGTGTGTGTGTGTGTATATATATATATATATATATATATATATATATATATATATATATATATATATATATATGAAGTGAGGAGCTACAAGAAATTGCCCCCTTCCTTTTTTTTAATTTTATATTTAAAAAAAATTAAAGTCAGATATGAGGCAGTTTCAACCCAACCTCTGACTACCTTGAAACCTGCTCAAATTGAGTGCTTTCTTCTCAGGGTTAGACTTCAGTGCTTTTATTCAAAGACGCAGGAATGGGTTACCCACAAACAAACGCTGAGAGACTTCCCTCCTGAAGACTGTGGTTTACTAACAGAGGAGCAGAACTTTCTGGGGACCAGCCAGCTTCTGCCTCTGCAGATGAAGGCATCAGATGTGTCCAGGACAGACCAAACTGCATTCTCTCTGCCTGGGACAACACAAGACGTACCTGTGCTTGCCGGGAAGTTTCTGTCAGCAACAGCCGGGCAGCTAGCTACTCCAAGTTACAAGTTACTCTTTTTACTCTTTTCCTTAGTGCTTTCCAGAAGTGAGGGGGAAAGCCAAGCCCCATGGCACAGGTCTGTAATCCTGTTTACTCAGGAAGCTAAGGCAAGGGGATTGGAAATTCAAGGCCTGCCTGAGCTACTGACTTGGTTCAAACCCATGGGTAACTTACCAAGACCTTGTCTCAAAATAAAAAAAAAAGAAATAAGATTGAGAAGTATATCACAGTGGTAGAGTGCTTGCCTAACCTGCATGAGGCCCCAGGTTCAAACCCCACCCAGTGCTGAACCCAGAGGGACAGTGTTTACTCAGAGGGACAGTACTTCTACCCAGTTACAACATTCTTTTCTTGTCAGTTTCCATTCGTCACTGGAGGCATTCAGAAGTGACCAAGTTATCTAACAGTGGCCAGCAAAGCATCAGAAATAATCTATCTGGCCTGCCATGTTGACCAAAGGAACAAAAACAGCAGTAGTTAAAACACGGAACATTCGCTGGGCATGGCGGCGCAGCCTTCCATCCCAGCACTCCAGAGACAGAGGCAGGTGGAGCTCTGTGATTTCGAAGTCAGTCTGGTCTACAAAGCAAGTTCCAGACAGCTAGTTGGTCTGTTACACAAACCCTGTCTTGCTGGGCGGTAGTGGCGCACGCCTTTAATCCCAGCACTCAGGAGGCAGAGGTAGGCGGATCTCTGTGAGTTCGAGGCCAGCCGGATCTATAGAGCAAGATCCAGGACAGGCACCAAAACTACACAGAGAAACCCTGTCTCGAAAAAAACAACCAAAACCAAAACCAAAACAAAACAAAACAATAAACCCTGTCTTGAAAAACAAAAACAAAGCAAAACAAAACAAGAAAATCAGAATACTCCTTGTGGAAAGCAATTTGATAATAACCATTAAGATTACAATGTAGGCCGGGCGGCAGTGGCGCACGCCTTTAATCCCAGCACTCGGGAGGCAGAGGCAGGAGGATCTCTGTGAGTTCGAGGCCAGCCTGGGCCACAGAGCGAGTTCCAGGTCAGGCTCCAAAGCTACACAGAGGTCCTCATTCTCTCTCCTCTCTTTGAATAATTCATTCATAAAGACATTGTGCAGTCAGAGCTGCAGAGAAGGCTCGGGGCCAACAGTACTGGCTACTCTATTATGAAGACTCAAGTGTGAATCCCAGTGGCTCCACAACCACCTGTAACTCCAGCCGCAAGGGAATGGGTATCTCTTCTGTTCATTGTAGACACCATCCTCCCATTTTTTTTTTTCAAATCTAGAGTTGGAGACATGGCTAGCAGTTAAAAGTATTTGCTGCTCTTGTAGAAGACCTGGTTTCAGTTCCCAGCACCATGGCCACAGCTGTCCATAACTCCAGTTCCAAGGAATCCAATGCTGCCTTCTGATATCTGTGGGCACCAAGCATGCATGTGATGCATATACATACATATAGGCAGAACACATACCCATTTTTAAAAAAAATCTTTAAAAAAAATAGATACTGAATGGTGCTGGGTAATTCATGCCATTAATTCCAGCACTCTGGAGCCAGAGGTAGGTGAATCTCTATGAGTTCCAGGCCAGTGTGGTCCAAAGTGTGAGTTCCAGGCCAGCCAAGGCTACATAATGAGATTCAGTTTAAAAAAATAAAAATAAAAAAGAATCCAAGGTCATCCTCTGGTACGTGGCAAATTTAAGGCCAGCCTTGGCTACTAAGTCTCAAACAAAACAAAGCATCATGCAGTGAAGAGAAGGGGATCACAAAGTTTGAAAGTTAGGAAGATTCCCACACCAAGCCCCTCCAGGAAAAAACAAACAAACAACAAAAAAGCCAAAAATAAAACAAGAAAAAAAATGGGCCCCCGCAGTGCCAGATTACAACGGATGGGAGAGGAATCTCAAGGTTTTTTTTTTTTCTTTCCTTATTTCTTTTCCTTTTTTTCTTTTCCTTCATTCATTTCTTTCCTTTCCTTCTCTCCTTCTTTCTTTCTTTCTTTCTTTCTTTTTTTGAGGCAGAGTAGCTCTGGCTGCCTGTAACTATGTAGACCAGGCTGGCCTCTAACTCATAGATCCGCCTACCTCTGCCTCCTGAGTGATAGGACTAAAGATGTGCGTCATTATACCCATCTAAACTCACGGTTTTCAACAGACAAAAATCGACAGAGCCCCCTTTAATTGATAAAGCAATGCAGAAATAATGTGGATGTGCCTATACACACTTGATGTACACACAGATATTCGTCGGTTCTTCCCAGGGTACTTGGGAGCAGTGACACCCCAAGGACAGTGAGAAAAGTACTCTGAGATTAGAGTCGTTGCTTTTATTGTTTTTATTATTATTGTTACTATTATAATTATTATTATTATTTACTTGTTTGTGGGGGGGTTCAAGACAGGGTTTCTCACCAGGCGGTAGTGACACCTGCCTTTAATCCCAGCAGAGCCAGGCGGATCTCTGTGAGTTCGAGTCCAGCCTGGTCTACAGAGCAAGATTCAGGACAGGCACCAAAACAACAGAGAAACCCTGTCTCGAAAAAACAAAACAAACAAACAACAAAAAAGACAGGGTTTCTCTGTGTAACAGTCATGGCTATGCTGGAACTCACTCTGTAGAGCAGGCTGGCCTCAAACTCACTGAGACCCTCCTGCCTCTGCCTCCCAAGTGCTGGGATGAATGGCATGCACTGCCGCCGCAACCCATACTTCTATCTATCTATCTATCTATCTATCTATCTATCTATCTATCTATCTATCTATCTCTATTTCATTGTATGTGTAAGAGTGTATGTGCACTCTGTGTGTGCAGTACCATCAGTGGCCAGAAGAGGGCAAGGAATCCCTTTGGACTGAAATTACACACCATGGCCTCGAACTCACAGAGATCCGCCTGCCTCTGCCTCCCGAGTGCTGGGATTAAAGACGTGCGCCACCACCGCCCAGCGCCAGTAACTTTTTTAAGGATTTATTTTATGTGTGTGAGTGTGTGCCTACATGCATGTTTGTGCACCACATGTGTCTCTGGTGCCTTCAAAGTCCAGAAGAGGGTGTCAGATCACCTGGAACTGGAGTTATAGATGGCTGTGAACTGCCATGTAGATACTGGGAACCAAAAATATGCTCTTAATCACTGAGCCACCTCTCCAGTTCCTCAAAGTCAGAGATGGTTAGATCATCAAAATAATGCTAACAATAATTAAAAACATAAAACCTAAGGTGTCCATACATTGTATAGCCATTCCCTCTGGATTGACACATCCCCTTCTGTAGGGAACAGGGAAGCCCATGAAACTCACAGTAACCTAACAAGTCCCGGAGCTCCCCGTCCCTTCCCAGGGGTTATGAAAGCAGTAAACAGTTGTTGTAATGCAACTTCCGGGAGTCCTCACCCATGCTGGGGTGGAGCTTCTCGGTGACACAGCTGCCTCTGAGTCACCCACGCTCCCTAAGTAACTAGAATAAATTCATCAGTTTCCCCAACCAAGACTTGGACACAATCTTTCCTTTATTCTGTTATCAGTGCTGCATCTGGGGTGAATGGGCATCTCCACTTTGTATCCCCCTGGGAAAAAAAATAAGGAAACACCATATAGAAAATCTCATAGTGAAAACGCCTGGCAGACAAATCAAAATTATCTGCCACCTGACGGGATGCATCGAGAGATGACAGCGCCACCCTCTGGATTTCCTCTGGAAATGCACCCAAATCTACCCAGCCCACAGAGTCTTGCTTATGATGTCTAAGCTATTTACTGTACCTATTAAATAAAGCAAAACTGAGGATAATGATCAAGACAGACTAAAGACAACTGATGCCTCACATACAAACAGATACAGGAGAGAAAATAAGATAGCTAAGAATGCTTTAAAAATCGAGGCAAAACCCCAAATTGAGTCATAAATACAGACTAACTGACCAGAAGTCTTCAACATGTCAAAATCATGAAGATCAAGGTGAGACCAAGGTACTGCTCTATCCTAAGGAAGCCCAAAGAGACACGAAGCAATAGAGTGGGGCCTGTGATTCTCAGCTGAGTCTTTCTATCCGTCCATTTGTCTGTCCATCCATCCATCCATTTGTCTATCCATCTATTTATTTATTTTGCATAAAAAGCATTTGTTGTCTACAGCCATGCCACCCTGAACGTACTCAACCTCGTCTGATCTCGGAAACTAAGCAGGGTCGGGCCTGGTTAGTACTTGGATGGGAGACCACCTGGGAATACTGGGTGCTGTAGGCTTAAAGAAAAAAAGGGGGGGGGCATTTGTTATCTGCTTAAAAACTGAATGGGGGTGAAGGTTAGGTGGTTTGCTGTGCCACTGGTGTGTGTGTGTGTGTGTGTGTGTGTGTGTGTGTGTGTGTGTGTGTGTGTGTACTTGAGTGCAGGTGCCCGAAGAGCCCAGAGCTACCAGATTCCCTGGAGCTGGAGTCACAGGCAGTTGTGAGCTACCTGATATGGGCATTGGGAACTGAACTTGGGTCCTCTGAAAGAGAGTACGTGCTCATAACTGCTGAGCCATCTCTCTAGTCCTAGACCCTCTTGCACTTTGCAGTTTTGAAGCAAGTGAGTGTAACACATGCTCAATAAATTACCTGAATTACACACACACACACACACACACACACACACACACACACACACACACACATACACACACACACACACATCTCTGGGTGAAAGGCCTGAGATTCGTGGATGACAAAGGGATCAGAAGGATTACATCTCTAAGGCCAGAAGAAACAGAAGGTACAGCATGGCGGTGAAGTAATTGTGGTGATATTTTATTTGTGCTCTAATAAATAAAGCTTGCCTGGAGATCCAAGTAAAAAGCCAGCCACTATATTAGACATAGAAGTCAGGCAATGGTAGCACACGCCTTTAATCCTATCACTCAGGAGGCAGGGATCTGTCTGGATCTCTTGTGAATTCAAAGCCACACTGGGAACAGTCAGGCATAGTGGTACCCGCCTTAAATTCCAATGCTAGTTAACCATAAAGGTTTGGAGGTCTGTATAGACAGACAGGAAGCGACAGAGCTGGGCAGGAAGAGAGAGCAAATGAGATAGCAGAACAGAAAGGCATATAAGCGTGGGTATACAGGAAGTACCTCTCTTTTGGAAACTGAGGGTCGGTAAGGTGAGGTTAGCTTGTGGCTTTTCCTATTCCTCTGATCTCTCAGGTTTTAACCCCAACATCTGGCTCCAGGTTTTTATTTAATAAGACGGTTTAGCAATTCATCTACAGCTAATGGCTTTGGTTTGTAAGAAAGCATTCTGGGAGCCCATGCAGAGAGCCAAGGCATGTGGGACTCAGGCTGTGACCAGGACTCAGAAGAAAGCACATCACATATGTTCTTGGGGGATGACCGAAGCTTGTTTCCAGGTGAAGTAGAGGTGGTTGGATTTGTAAGATTTGAAGGATATAAGGAACTCACAGGGTCAGGGACAATCTACCAGTGAGGGCAGAGCCAGAGGAGGCAGAACCCAGCTCCTCTCCTCTCCTCTCCCCACAGAACCCAGGTTTTTACAAGGTCTGATGCAAGCTTACTACATATTTACATTCCTGGGATGGAGAGTCACATTATTCCTGGAAACACACGCACTTGGATTCTCCTGGGCCAGCTCTGACGCACAGTAATCACCAGATGTGTTATTACCAAATGAGTACAGAGCATGTCTGCGCAAACTCCGTGAAGCAAAAGGACACTAGATGGGAATGAGATCAACACAGTCCCCATCTTGAGACAGGTGGTCAGCCCACTCAGGACAAGATTCCTCGAGAGAATGAGAGTTGGCACTTTAAATCATGTAAACATTAGCTAGGCAAGGAGAAAGCTACATGGGATGTGAAGGGTGGATGATCTGTGCCACTGCTGAGTTCTAGATTTGATGGCTGTATCATGGTTATAGAGAACATCCTTGCTACTAAGAAACACATAACAATATTTGGAGGGGGTCATCCACATGGTTCAGGAAGCTTTCTGTAAGTGTATGATTGTATTTGTTTGTTTTCTGAGACAGGGTTTCTCTGAGACCCTTTGGCTGTCCTGGAACTCACTCTGTAGACCAGACTGGCCTTGAACTCACAGAGATCCGCCTGCCTCTGCCTCCAGAGTGCTGGGATTAAAGGCACATGCCACCAATGCTTGGCTATGATTGTTTTTAAATAAAATTATTTTACTTAAAATAATTTCAATTAAAAATGATTATGACATACCCTTGATCTGAAGTTCTGTCTCAGTCTACTCCGGTTGTGTGGGGGACTTTCCCCCACTTTCCCCAGGCTAACTCTTGAGGAGAGAGGGATAAGAGATATTAGGTAGAGAGATCTAGCCAACGAGAGGAAAAACGGAAACACAGGATAGCTTCGGGAGGATCTGGGTCAATACCCAACATCCCAGGACTTCATTCAAAAAGGCTTTTTATAACAATGCCATGGGGCGAGGCAAAAGACCTCCCCCTTGCTAGGTACAGCCAAGTGTAGACCCTTCCAAACACCTGGTACCCAGGCCTGTGGTCCAATCATCCTCTTATGCAGCCCTGCTGGTAAAACAAGCTCAGATCTCACTGTGGGCTCCCACACTGTTGCTGTAACACAGTCCTTTAGGGTGATTTATAAAGCACAGAAATTTACTTCTCACTGTCTGGAGTCTAGGAAGCCCAAGCCCAAAGCCCTGGCATGTGAGACCAGTATACCAGACACTCTGAAATGGGAAGGGGTGTGTGTCGAGGAGGAGATGAGAGGAGTGAGCTGGTACTGGAGAAGCAGTTGGTGCCTGGTAGCTGACTATATATATCACCTGAGAGCCACGGGTGCCATAGAGGGACTTCAGCAGGGGAAGAGGGTTGATACTGTGTATTCTCCAAAGGTTCTTACTGTGTTGGAAATGGATGGAGGAGGGTGAGGAGAGACCTCAGCCCTGTCAAGGCACCAGTATTATTTGGGAGTTTGTTCAAAAGCAGATCCTGGACTCAGAAGGACTCGGGTGGGGCAGGTATTCTGCATTTCTATCAAGAACCTAGGAGCTACCAAGGCTGGTCTGCAAACTACTTATGGGACTTGCCTCCATAAGAAATGTGATAGCCTGAACCCAAGGGTGGCAGGGAAGCTAAGAGCAACGGCCAGACTTTCTTTAGAGGGAGACACTCCAGATCTTTGTGATAGATAGATAGGCCATGGAGGAAAGAGAAAAGAGAGTAATAAAAAGAACCTGCCAGGGGGTGCGGTGGTGACGCCTTTAATCCCAGCACTCGGGAGGCAGGTGGATCTCTGAGTTTCAAGCCAGCCTGGTGTACAGAGTGAGTTCTAGGACAGCCAAGACACAGAGAAACCCCGTGGAGGGTGGGGGAGAAAAAGAAAAGACTGAGGCGCTCGGTGGATAAAGACCATCTATCCGACACTAACCCTGACCCCAGAACCCACACAGTGGAAGAAGAGATCTGATTCCTGCAGATTCTCTCTGACCTCCACACATGTGAGCACATGCACAAAATTAATTTTGTTTTTGAGAGATGTCTTAGCGGTTACGGACACTGGCCGCTCTTCCAAAGTCCCAGGTTCAACTCCCAGCGCCCACCTGGCGGCTCACAGCTACCTACTAACTCCTGTTCCAGAGAATCTGATGTCTTTTTCTGGTATCTGTGGCCTCTAGGCAGGCTTGTGGTATATAGACAGACGTACATGCAGACGAAACACTCACATACATAAAAATAAATGTTTAAAAAGGGACCCACAGCTCTGGAGTAAATTTGCTGAGACTGAGAGTTCCCACCTGGATTTCGACCATTACAGATGCCTGTGACCCAGCTAAAGGTGGCATTTGAAGATGCGGAGCTCTGCCTGCCTTTGCCGCCCTCGGCCTGTCTCCTGCCAGACAGAGGTCCTCACACTATGGGGAATTCACCCCAAACTCCCCTGGCAAGCATTTCTGCATCCTCGGGGCGACCTCTTGCCAGCCTGGGAGGCATAGGTCCCTGAACTGTCACTCAAAAGCTGAGGGTGCAAGGCTACGAGGCTACAAAGCGGGAGCCGGAGCTGGCAAGGCAGTTTTGAGAGGAGAAGATCCGCTTTCCTCTCCCTGACACCCTTTTCTCCGGAAAGAACCATCGGCTTGGAGATAGGATCCCAGCAAGTACTGCTGCACCCAAAATCAATCCCCTTAGCCGCCCCAGTCAGAGCCCAAAAAGAGGCGCTGGCTCAGCCCTCTAGCGCCATCTAGCGTTGGCGGAAGAGATGGCCTTCTCGTGGTCCGAGAGGGCACAGGTAGGGAGGGGTGGCCTAGGTTGAGCTTCGTCCTGAACTTTGGGCAGCTGGAGTCTGAAGATGGAGATGAGAGCCAGGAGTTCCAGATAAATAGTTTTCTAGAACTGCCTTAAAAATGACCACCACATGGGATGTTTAACGTAACAGGATTGTATTGTCTCGATGCCGAAAGACATGCCCCAAATCAAGGTGTTGACAAGGGTCCTGATGTCGCCGAAGGCTCAAGAATCTGCCCCTGCTTCTTCCTAGATTCTAGTGCCTCTGGTCATCCTTGGCCTTGGTTTTCTCCTGCTGGCTCCACTCCTGGCCCTGCCCCATTCTCACAATGTGATGCTCTTCCCTTTTTCTGTAGTCACCGATCACACCAGGATCCACCTGACCTGATGGTCTAATAAAGGACTGAACGGCCAATAAAGAGGCAGGAGAAAGGATAGGCAGGGCCGGCAGACAGAGAGAATATATAGAGGGAGAAATGTGGAGAGAGAGATCTAGGAGCCAGGGAAGGAGGAGGACATGAGGGCCAGCCACCCAGCTACACAGCAGGCCACGGAGTAAAAGTAAGATTTACAGAAGTAAGAGAACAGGAAAAGCCCAGAGGCAAAAGGTAGACGGGATAATTTAAGTTAAGGAAAGCTGGCTAGAAACTAAGCCAAGCTAAGGTCGAGCATTCATAAATAAGAATAAGCTTCCATGTGTGATTTTGGAGCTGGGTGGTGGGCCCCCAAAAGAGAGTAAAAAACAAACAACAGGTCAGGCTGCATGGACTTGGAGACTGTGGCTTGGAGCCGGTCCTTGAGGATGGTGAAATGTCCTGTAGGTAAACGGACCCCATACAAAGTTTTAATGCATACTAGATGCCATAATTACCAGGTGTCAGGCAGAGAACTTTGAAACCAAGGTCTATTTGCTAGATTAAAGTTATTAACATATCGAGATCCTCCAGGTGGCTGAACACCTGGAGATTCCAGTCAGGTGCA